TTATGCATACAGCGTACATACATATGTACATATGTATATGTAGGTAATGCAAGCAAATGCTTTTCGGTTGGAAGGAATGTGGGAATATGCACAAATATATGAATTATGGTGGAAACATATATGTATGTATCTACATATACATAAATTACGTACATGCATACGTGTAGTTAAAGTATATTCCAAGCGTACACTTTTCAGTATAATTACGGTGACCATATTAACCAATGTAAAATAAAGAACATTTTTTTCAAAATTATTTGGGAATACGTGCATACAACTTGTATGATAAAAGTACCTTACCCATATCGTAATTTAAATCAAATATTTACCAGTTAATTAACCGATTCCCAAAAATGAAGCCAAATCCTTTTCAAGGACTTCGTCATCCTTTGCTGCCAAAATACATTTACCGATGTTAGCGGTTCAAAGTTGGAATTTAATGTTCATAATTCACCGCAGTCTTCATTTTTCAACCAACTTTTACTAAAAACCAAAAAAAAAATTTTTTGTGAACCTTTTTTTATAACATTTCAAACATTTTTTGTAATTTTTTCGTTTTGGGGAACCACACAATTGTTTTTAACTAGTCTTTGTTATGTAACATTATTTATTTATTATTATTATAATCATATACAAATTCACAAATCAGGCTCAACTGGTCTCTTGCAAATATTACAAGCTTTAATAAAAAAAAGTATCAAATTAAGTGAAAAAAATGAAGGCTCCAGTGAATTACGAACACTAAATGCCAGTTTAGAACCACTGTGCAGCAGGGGGTTTATTGTTCTCTTTCAGTGGAACTGGAAACTCAGCGTGCAACACGATCCCGGGCACAACTTTCCCTGTGCTTTATAGATTGTGCAAAGATTACCTATTAAATAAAAACCCTTAAGTGGGGTATGAAACAAACTGGCGAAGGTTTTCATTATATTTTATAATGAACATTTTTATTTTTCATATTCTGAAAAATTTACCTCTGAAAAATGCAGAGCTGATTTAAAGGACAGTTTAAGAAATAAAGGACAAAACGCGTCCTTTATTTTGAAAAAAATTATAAAGGACACGGGGTTAAAATAAAGGACGGATGGTCACCGTAAGTATAATGGTGTATCTGCATGTTATTTTATTCTAATGATTGCGTTTATTTTTTATATCTAATAAATGGAACTTAGTGGGGATAAGATTGACTAATGAGAAAAGTGGGCGTCTGTTGAAGACTGAGAGTACAGAAAAGCAGAAAAAACAATACATATAAATTTTTTATTTATTCTAAATGTTTTGATTCGCCATTATAAGGATATTAATAAGAAACCAAAAATATAAACATGTAAATAGAATAAGAATATGTATGGATGTATGTATTACTAGAAGAAAACTCAATAAAACGAAGGTCTGCATTTCATATCCATGCACACATACATATGTTTTTTGTTTTTTTTTTTTTGTAGAGGTGGCACAAAGCATTGAAGGCCGAAAAGTGTGGGACTTGCCTTTCAGCTCACCGCACTAAAAACCCACCCCTGCTCCGTTTCCCTCCCACCGTGGAACTACCGTAAGGTATTACTTCGCGGAGGGGGAGCGGCCTATTGCCAATCTATGAAATTCTGCGGAGTTGTTCCGCTCGACGCAATTTAGATGAAATTGTGCTTGCCAAATTGCAAACAACGGACCAGTTATCTTCTGACTCAAGCATAGTATCCACAAGGTTATGAACCGTAAGTGGCCTCCCCACCTTCCTGCTCGAGTCATCCCTTTCGATTGCAAACCTCGGACAGACGAAAAGCAGTATTCAGCGTCTTCAATAATATCCTTTGCACAGAAGGTGCAGAAGGGATCGTCTTCGTGCTTAAATCGGTATAAATATGATTTAAAGCACCCATGCCCTGTCAATATTTGGTTCCAACGGAAGTCCACTTCCCCATGTTCCCTACTTACCCACCTTGATATCGAGGGTATGAGGCGGTGCGTCCAACGACCGCTGGCTGCGCGGTCCCACCTCGTTTGCCATTGCTGCGAGCACCTCTGTGTCACCTCTTCGCGTCTCGTTCGGTTTATAGGCCTGGGGCCTGTCAGTTCCACTAGAATGTCAATGGGGCAGAGCCCTGCCACCACTAGTGCTGCTTCTTCGGACGTAGTTCGGAATGCACTGCATACTTTGATAGCGCAAAATCTGTGCAAAGACCTTGCTTCTCGTACATATGACGTCTTGCTGAACGCTTCATACCAGATTTGTGCACCATAGAGCAGCACACTGCGCACGACGCTTGCGTATAGCTGCCTACGCTGTTTCGGGCCTCCTACGTTCAGCATAACCCTTGTTAGTTCCCCTGCCACCTTTTCGGCTTTCTCGACAGCATAATCAATGTGCGTGTTGAAGGTAAGCCTCGCATCAAACATTATGCCTAGGTATTTTAGGGCCGCCTTTGACGTAATTTCTTGTTGACCAACCTTTATAGTCGCCACTTCTCTGACTTTTCTACTGCTTACTAGAACTGTCTCGGTTTTTTGGTGCGCAAGTTCCAGTCCTGTTTCGGCCAGCCATGCTTGGATCTGGACGATTGAACTATTTGCTGCGATAATTATTTCTTCTAGATGCTTCGCTACCACCACTAGCGCTATGTCGTCAGCAAATCCGACAATTTTCACTCGTTCTGGCAAGGATAGTCGGAGTACACCATCGTACATGATATTCCAAAGTATTGGACCCAGAACCGAACCCTGTGGTACTCCAGCCGAGACTTAATGTTCTTTGACACCGTTCTCCGTATTGTACAGTAGCACTCTATTTGCTAGGTAGTTGTCTACCATCTTGCGAAGGTATGCGGGTACCTCGAATCTGCGTAGAGCAGCGTTTATGTGTTTCCAACTTGCTGTGTTGAACGCATTTTTTACATCGAGGGTGACAAGCAAGCAGTACTCCTTTGCTCCTCCCTTCCACCTTTCGCCACTGATTGCATCTTCCGCCAACTGCTTTACTAAACTGGCTGCATCTACTGTTGACCGCCCCTTTCTGAAGCCGAACTGTGTCTCTGAGAGGCCTCCCTTTTCCTCGATTGCTTCTAGCAGTCTATCGCTGATTATGCGTTCGAACAACTTGCCTGTCGTATCCAACATGCATATAGGACGATATGCTGAGGGATCTTCTGGTGGCTTCCCAGTTTTCGGCAATAGAACTAGCCGCTGGCGCTTCCATGCATCAGGAAATACTCCTTCTTTAAAGCATTCGTTAAAACTATCGACGAACACTTTAGGGTTCGCAGCTACAGCAAGCTTGAGGACACGATTTGGAATTGCATCCGGCCCCGGTGATTTTTTATCTTTAAATCGCTTGGCCGCAAGAAGTACTTCTTCCGTGCTCACCATGGGAAACTCGAACATCGTAACAGGAAAGATTTCTCTCGCAAAACTTGGTTGCATTGGAAATAACGCCTTTATTATCGTCTCCAGCTTATTTGGGCATAATACCTGTGGTCGAACCGACGCCTTCAGCCTTTTCGTCACAACTTTATATGCTAAGCCTCAGGGGTCATTTTGGACGCTTTCATACAAGCTAGTAAAGCACTTTCGCTTGCTGAGCTTAATGGCTTGTTTAAGCTCCTTGCGTTTAGCTCTGTATATAGCATGTTCGCCGGTAAAGCTTTCAGACCTTCTGGCACGCTGGTAGTTTCTTCTCGCTTTGTTGCATTGCAGTCGCAAGTCCGCTATTTGCTCATTCCACCAATAAACTGGTGCACGTCGGCTGGTCGGGTATTTTTTTCTTCATCGAAGCGTCGCACGCTTGAGTGATTTTGGCCATGAGGTAGTTCGTCATGTTACTAGCTCCGTGGGGTAACGAAATTCCAGACATCATGGCTACTAGCGCCTCTTCGTCTAGAGAGTTGACCTTCCAACCTGTTGTTGCTCTTGCACTGACTTTTCTGCTCTCTCTCTCCTCCTGTATCGAGAAAATGATAGCCATGTGGTCGCTATGAGTGTACTCGTCGCTAACCTCCCAAGACGTGTGTCGAAACAGCCTGCTGCTGATAAATGTGAGGTCAATAATGGACCCCACCCCATCCTTGCTGAATGTAAATTTGGTACCCGAGTTGCATAATGCCACATCCAGAGACGATAGTGCTGCAAGAAGAGCTCTTCCTCTGGCGTTAGTTCGTCGGCTTCCCCATTGCAAGGCCCAAGCATTGAAGCATATGTATGTAGATATGTGTGTATCTATGTATATGCATGTACTTATACCGGTAAGAGCATAGTTATTTACTGAACAGTAGCGCAGAATGAACAAAAATTTTGCAGCAATAATCAAATAATAGCTAAGCGTTGGTTTTACTACGACTTTGCAAAGACGAAAAAAATTTACTTGTGAGCCTTTTAGCCTGAAGTATGTATGTAGATACAATATTGCAGCAACTTTCTACCTACCTTTTGTTTATTTTCCACTAATAATTAGTATGCTTTAGAAATATTTACGGAAATAGAGCACATGATTTCGTTCATTTTAGAGTTGTAGTTTCTTCAAACTGCATTTCGCTAAGTGTGGAGTTGTGTGGTTTAGTTGGGATTTCCCTGAATACAAGATATTTTGTAAATACGTACGTTCTTCATAAAATTTTATTTTGTAAGAGTTTTGGGTGTGCACCTACCTAAATGAGGTAAACGATGCGGGTGCTCCATTCGTGATCACTCACAACAGCTTATCCTGAAAACTTTTTAGGGCGTTGTATGGAAGATGTTTTTTCGCTTTTCTAAGGAATTACGCTATAATTGCACGTATACATATACATATGCATTGTCGTCATTGGTAGAAGTATTATAAGAGTCTTCCCACAGTGGTAATTGCCTATTGCATCGCATTTCTTCTTCGAATCGTATTACAGAGCAGCCTCTTAGATTTTTTTTAGAAAATATAAATCGTATGATGCGAATGCCGCATTATACTAAAGCCAACCTTTCGACATAAGCTACTATTCCATATGAACACAGATATATATATATAAATGAAGCAAATTATTACATCGCATTATTTTATCTATTTATTTTCTTCAATTTCTAATTTTGAGAAGTGGAGAATATCAAAATTTAATTTTGTTATCAATAGATTCGATAACGATTTTTTGACAATTTTGTACGTAACTTAGTGAGTATTGTAGAAAGTGCGCCGAAAGCCCGCTCAACAGAAACTTGTGTTGCTGGTACTGCTAATACAACCTCCGCTAACTTCAACATCTCACACTCATTCCGATAAAATTATCTCCAGTATTCCAGGACATTTGTGTCGAACGGTTCCATTTCTTATACACAGAGATTAACCAGCTTTTGTTTGATGTCAGGTTTTACGATTGGTCTCGTTGCACTTTGCGATTTTGCCAATGACCGTACGTGAAGCGTTAACTTATGGTACGCCCCTTTCGATGTGCTTGGAAGTTCATTGTCCTGTGTTGTATGTGGTACAACTCCAGAAGTGCAATCATTCTCATATTCTGATGGATTTTCAATATTCTGGATCATTTCGTAAGTCCTTATTAAGTGATCCTGTAAAAGAGTAGGAAAAATTAAAATAACTGGATTAGTATCTCACAATTATAAAGATATAAAAAATTCAAAGTAAACCATAAATTAATTGAACGAAATATAATATCAAGATAATGAATGTTGAAATAAATTTCAGTTGGCTTACCATTGCAACATCCTTTTGCTCAGAGAGAGGTGTTTCTTCAAAATTAAATCTTGGATCTAGATATAGAGCAGCGACGAAAGCCTTATATTCTAAAAGGACATTTTTTCTTATTTTCATCGCATTTAGGAGGGAATCTGCATAAATATTGTCTGGGACCAGGTCTGCAAGCTCTAGTTCGCAAGTAAGCCAATCCCTGAAGAAATCTCCTATAATATACTGCTCATTTTGAAGTTTTAGGGTGCACTTAGAGATTGGTTGAAAAGCGGTGAGAAAATCCTTAACGAATGACCAATTTATGTACATGTTTTTATC